ATTTGGCACTAAACTAGTGGGATTCGAGCGTGAAGGGGCTTAGCTCTGATTACTTCTTGTAAATATGTGCATCTATTTTATGGATACGTTTAACTAGTTAAGCCAATATTATTGCACTATTGATTAATAAAATATTAGCCATTTTTAACTTGTCGTAACTTTTTGGCGATTAAAATTGCTAGCAAGCCGGGATATTTATACCGGTACATCAAACGAACGCAATATTTAAAATACTTAATTACGAGTTACTTACGTGGATCAAAAGAAAATAAAATTGAATTATCGTGATTTAAGGGTTTTTTTCCACAGCTATAGATATTCTAATTGATTCATTATAATTCACTATTTATTTTAACGGAGTTTAGACCAACTTAGAAATTTGTAGTCACATTTCGGTCACGCTCTCAGTGCATACAAAGCAAACTAGAAGGAAGTCGCTTTAGGATTCAAATCAGTATTCACCTGAAAACGGTTCGAGATTGTACCAACGGAAGCACTGTGATAACAACATCTTTGTAAGACAATGGTCCGTTTAAACCATTCAACATTTTCAGTCACTTTTGAACAAAAATTTCCGGTTATTTGAGAATTGCGATCAAGTTTTGAACTTTTACGTGAAATTGCTAAAATTATATGCATGTGGCTATCATTAGTATAAAATACCATTTTATTTTGAAAAAAGTATAATATTTGCGTTGGTACCACACTTACATAATACCTCTTGGAAATATCGTTTTAAGCTCGATTAATAGAGGAAACAGTGTTCTGAAAGTTTGTTGAGTTTGTTTGAAATTTTAAACTTCCAACTTGCTAAATTGAAGCGAACTACTGCAGGATCCTGCAAGGTTTTATTGATCAGTTAATATTTTTAAAACTGAAGGGCACAAGGGCAACCAACCAAGTTCAGTGTTTCAATGTATCAATTTTTCAGGAAGAAAAAAACTATTTACTTCTAAGAGATGCGATTTAAAAGTTAAAAAGCTAAAATACGCAATACATTTTTGATCAAGGAATGCATATAAGCAACCATATTACGTTCACCAAAAATGGACTTGGTTGGTTCTTGCTTAGTTTTTGCAGTTTCTCTTTGTTCTTCCCTGGGATATAGTAATAAATCCAACAATGTCGGGTCGAAAATTTCTATTTATTGAACACATTATGAATGAATAACTAAAGAAACAGCTTTAGTCTTTTGCTTCTCAACAAATCGTTCACACACTTATGAGACCTAAAAGTTACTATAGTGGTATGGTTACAGTTTACCTCATAATAATTCAATTAGCTTCAACTTCGCTGCATGTCTTTTCCATCTAGGTGACTATCGTGAAGCAAAAATTTTCCGATAAAATAAGAGCCAATTTATAATCAACTTGAGAAATATATTCACACTTGAGATATTGTAATAGGTAAGGTAACTGCAGAACTTTATTCTTTATGTTATATCAGGAAAAGCTCCGATTATATCCTGCCCTCAGGTTCCACTTTATTATCGAATAAATTAGAGAGGAGTATGACCATTATGACCTGATTATAAATTGAAGTTATAAAATTTTTACTTTATTTTAAAAACCGTTAATTTGGCTCTGGTGCAGCGTACGGAAAGGGAGTTTTGCAAATTCTTCCAATAAATGTTGAGAAAAGAGTGGTGATGGAATGAAAAAGTGATTGATGAGACAACCATCGACTTTTCGACAATTTCATTTTCAAATTGTCATCTTCGTATTAACGTGAAAATTGTATTTCGTTTCTTTGGCTAAGGGATTATTACTTTATTTCAGGACCTTTGGAAACCAATCAACTGCTAACATTTGAACAATATTGTGTTTTAGTCCTTTCACTTTAATATAACTTTACTAATAAGATAAGTTTAACCTTTATCAAATCAGATTTTTTAATTTTAGTATCAAGAATTGCATCTTTTTTAATTTGCAATTTTCGCATTTAGTGTTACAGTATTTAAGAAATAGTTACAGTGTAGAATAGGTAGTAGTTCGTCTGGCAGAAAAAATAAAATTGATCAATTACATAAAGTTCAACAATATATGTGAATAAAATTTATTTTATATTGTTGCAAAAAAGTAATTGCAACACTTATCGTAATTTTTACTCTGGTCCTTTGGTTTCAATAGGATCAATTCATAATTAGTAGAATTTATTATGTAAAGCATCCACGTGAAATATTTTTTTTGCATTGGCCCATTTGGGTATCACACAGTCGTCAGCTTGTTTCTTGCTTCGAATGTAAATTTTATGACGAGAAAAACTTCGGAAAACAAAGTCTATTAAATTGTATATATTCACCAATAAAATCTCAGTCCAGTAAGTTCAGTAAAGGTTAATGTTGCGCGAAAAGTGTTGAGTTTTATACAACAATGCAATTCATTACTTCAATATAAAAAATATGTAAAATATAAAATTGACAAAGAATTTTTCAAATACGGTTTGTTCAGATTGTTTTCTTTTAAATAATTCTTAAAAGTTTAATGCAGAAACCAAGTCGGACATGTTGGGGACCTTTGAAGGTACTTATGTTTATGTACATAAGTAAAAAAATGAGAAGTAAAAAGCCTACATATTTTTTACATCAAGTTTACTCAGTCAGATTAATACCGACAATCATCTTTCTATTTTTCACAATTGTTATTAAGCTAATCTTAAATAATAAAAGATATGAAACGATAGTTTCAAATATGCCATATATGGACCTCGTTTTAAATAGAAGCTATGCTTGATAGCTTTTGCTCACGTCTTGAAAAAATGTACTGTAACTGAGAACATTGTGTTTCACAGAGACACACTTTCGAGGACATTCCTTGAAGCTAGTAGGGTTTTTGGGCTTTTAGGCCGTCTCAGAACAGTGTAGGCGTCCGAGCAAATCACCTCTGAAGATGCAAGCCACTCATGCTTGCGAAACGTTAGGAAGAAATTCCATTTTACGACGCCCTAAAAACCCGAACAACCCACTAGTCTTAATAAAATTGATGAAGTTTTTGAACTGAGCATTTTGGCCCGCGTAAAACAAAACTCATCTACTCTTCGACGAGTGCGATTTTCGAAGTTGCAAGTACATGATAAAAATTCGCTTTTTAGGTGTTCAAAGAATTTGAATTCCGTCTGTTAGTTAGCTGTTTAATAAAAAGCACAATTATTTTTATAAAATATTTCAATAAAAAAAAAACTATTACAAAATGCTCATTTATTTACCTACAGCTTAATAGCACGCGGGCAAAGTTAAATTTAAAAGTATTTAGGCCGTTAAATCGGCTTCAACATGATGGGGAACACACCTTCACAATGTGTTAATGGTGAAGGACTGTTTGCATTTGGATTTTTGATTGATTAAATGAGTTTTCTTTCACTTTTTTTTTTCAATTTTCACTTCGCGACATCAGTTTAAAATTTTAATTGATGGGTAAGCGCTAAAAATGAAGCGTAAATAAAAAGCTATCGTACGATTGATGACTTGAAAAATGCTCCAAATGAGGCGTTTTGTGCCATTTATAGATCTTCTCTTAGGGAAACCACGGATTCTATTTTTAAAGATATAAAATATTTATACATTATTCATATACAGAGTGTTTGGTAAGTAGATACATTTCTTGCAGGGGGTGATAGTGCGCGTAAGTTTGGATATATTTCGTTAATATACCGTGTTCCGAAAACGCTTAGTTTCCGATCTACAGGGTGATAAAGTTTTAATTAAAAAAACGTTACTTATTAATATTGCGGAATACGCTTGGAATATTGAAACGAAATTTTACAGGCTTAGGCTCTTAACAACAATACATGTTTTGTGATGAAAATTTTGTTTCTAGATTTTCCAGTGGCGTGGGCACAGCCACGACTGTAGATAATTTTAAATAAAAAATGTTGCGCCACTGATTTATGAGCAATGTACCTGATGACTCAAATTCCTGTTCAATTTGGAAGAGAAAGGGTCTTTCGACTTTTTTTCTCCGACGTTATGTTTTCAAGTAAATAAATTTAAATCGATTTATTATATAGCTTAATCGGGTTGTAATTAAGTATGGTGTAGTATAAAAACAAAAATTGTGCACTTAGATTGCATCAATTTTATTACAAAAAAAACGCAAAAAGAAGTTAGTCAGACACTCGAAATGACAGCAATTATGAAAGTTTTTCATTCAGTGACCAAACTAGTGCAGAGCAACTTTTTAAATAAAAACTCGATTACGCCTGGCAATAAACCGAGTTAAATTGTTTTACTCAAACACGGTGCATTGTAGAAAAAAAGTCAAGAGACCTTTTCTCTTGCAAATTGAACAGGAACTTGAAAAATAATATTTATTTATAGAAAAATAAGTGAGGTAACATTTTTCTTATGTAAAAGTATCTACAGATGTGCCTGTGTCCACGCCCATGGCGAAGCTAAAAACCATTTTTTTATCGCAAAACATATATTGCTGTTAAGTGCCTAAGCTTGTAAGATTTCATTAATATTCCAAGGGGTTTCCGCAATATTAAAAAATATAATTTTTTAAATTAATACTTTAACCCGCTGTAGATCGGAGACTAAGAGTTTTCGGAACATGGTCTATTAAAGAAATATATCCAAAATTACGTGCACTATCACCTCCTACAAGGAATGGATGTACTTATCAAACACCCCGTAGGTATAGGTAATTGATGGATTTTACACATTTCATTTTTACATAACTGACTGACTACGGATTCCAAAATAAGTTTTGTTTCAACTACTTTTAACTGCCCTAAATTTTCAGCTGTCATATCATTTCAAATGTATGCACCCAAATTATAACAGCAACAAGTTTTCAGGAAAATAGGCCATTTTATAAAACGAAAAGCATGTATTGTTCACGAAACGTACAACGTTGAAATAACTAAAGCCGGTTTTTCACTTTCCGACTTTCATTCAACTGCATCTAATTTTAAGTTTTCAGAGGTATATATGCTTTTGCTGGACGAATATTGAAAACTTATAATTCCTTTCAATAATGAATAATTGTTGTTTCTTTCAGACGCGGCTATTTCCCATTATCGGCAAGGACAACCGACATAGCGTTTAATTCGGAAACCTGAGGTAAGTGAAATAAGTAAGCACGCAGCATTGATTATCTTTATTACAACTTCGTTTAAACAGACAATACATTAAGTAAGTTAAATATGGAAAATTACAACTACGTACACAATATTGTTGTCGTTTAAATATGTAATTAGCCTTTACCAAACCAAAATATCACAGCTAATGATTATTATTTTTAAAACCTCGTTTATCAAAGTTGTCTGTACATTTCGCTAAAAGCGCCCTAAATCATATATAAAAGGATACTACTGGGTTACGTAATATGACTAACAGAGTTAAGATTTTTCGTTGTTGTTTCTAGACAGCAGAACTACGTTCTCGAAATGTTAATACTCGTATTAGTAGGAATTAAATTTCTCCTAAGTTTAAACTTAATGCATATTTTAAAATAATCGCTAATATTTCGTACAAAATTTGAATGGGCAATTACTGGCATGTCAAATTGCCTCCATCGCTGCGCATTAATTTCCAAACAGATTTGCATGAAGATTAGTACTACGAACGAAGCCCCATTCCATTTATCATGATATTAGCAAGGGCGTTTCGACGTTTCCTCCATGGCCCCATCCCTTGTGCATGATATTGCAGCTTCCTGTACCATACTTGCGTTTGATCTTCATCTTCAGCCTGTAAAACATAAGTCTGCATAAATTGATTTTCAGTAAATTGTGCTTTGGCCAAGTTTTTTCTCTAAAGCCTATGCAACAGCAACAAATTGTTTTACTACATTTGGTTTTATACCTTGAAAATAAAAGTGTCCCTGTTTAGCAATTCCTGAACCTCAAAGTAACTTTGCCAGGCGGGATCCGCTGCAATTACGCAACGATCCAGATACAGCGGCTCTCTGAGCAGCGAGTAACGCCCGTTCTTATCTCGAACTAGTAAGAGAGCAGCTTCTCGCACTCCGGATTGCTTCATGGAAAACATCAAACCATTTTCGTCCGTCTTCTCTGTAGATGGCTTGTTTAGGGGCGTCTTAAAAAGCGGTTGTATCAAATTATGACGAGATTTTTCAGTTTTTCCTGATCAATACTCATATTTAAATTAAATAAAAATGGGAGAAGCATAGATAAACTGCCTTTTGAATGCAACAGAAATCAAACTTTACTCGTGTTTTTAAATTTCCTAAAGACTGGCATAAAGCACACGAAAAATGACATTGGTGTGCAAATTCACTTTAAACGAAATAAGCGCACAGACGTGAAGAAACAAAAACAGTCTGGCTGCGAGACGAGCGGAAATTGGCGAGACGATCAAAGCAAAAAAAATGCATCAATATACGTAAACTGATGTTTAGTTTTTCAGTAAAAAGTGCTTTGTTTTAGTTGCGCGCAGGTGAGCGAAATTGTATTTTTATTCTACAGGCTATTTGTTGAAAGGTAAGTGCAGTAAGTTATACATTTACAAGATGTCTATACTTTTAAATGGAACAATAATATTAGTCCTTATTTGATCTAATATTCACATTTCACATTTAGTATACTAACGCCATTCGGCAGGAATTTTATGGTTTTTTTTTGTGAATTTGGCAGAATGGGACGTGGTTACTATCAATCTTTTGAGCAAACATTCAGATATTTTGTTCCAACTCGATGATAAAGAATTTTGGGTAACAGTATCAGAGGCCTTCGACAAATCCCTAAAAAACGTTTAAATTTCCCGCTTGTTTAGAATAATAAAATTGGAATTGAATTGAGAGATTTTCAAACAACAACTTAGCAAAATGTTTATAACAGATATTCCTATTATGCAGTTTAAACTATTTCGTCCGATTTAAATGTGTTCATTGCAAATTTCCCAATCTTAACTTTAGCGTAAACTAGGTGATTTAACAAAAACTTGAATATAATTAAAATCATCGCTGATGCTAAAGAATATTTTTTCAAATTTCTCCGTTTTAATTCACGGAAATTAAAAATAATAAGTAAAAAATATTTATTGAGCAACGGATTGGTTATGCTATTGTTTTAAAATTTGAAAATGTGTATTAAATAAAAATCGTTTAATGCCATTGTGAACGGTAAACTGATCGCTTTAATCCAAATATGCTGGGAGCAACTGATTATAACTGACTTGCTTACCTTGCCATTTATCACCAACAAGGCATTGACGGGGGTAAGTTTGATGGTGCGTCCTTTTCTCCAATTATTGTCTGTTGGTTGAGTGAACAGTAGTTTTCCTTCAAGCACAAAGCGAGCTTCTTCATGGTTCCAGTCTAACACATCTACAGCAATTTTTCGCAACTTGATGTTTACTAGATCCATTTCGGTACTTGGTCTTCTACCCGAACTGCTACCTGTTTAGAGCAGAATTTCTTAAGCAATGTTATGTAATTTTAATTTTTACTAATACGTCTGCAAATTTTGTAAAGTAGCAACATTTTTTCAATGGTCTTTAAATATTCCTATATACAGAGTCATATCGGTTAAAGCAAGCTGCGCCTTTAAATACACAGGTTAACTTAATATATTTATTTAGAAAGTCTGAGTAAAGAACGATTTTAGGCGTAAGAAAATATCAATTGGCGGCAATTCTACATTCAAGCAAAAAAAATCAGAATAAAACTCCACAAAATAGTGAAATAAAAAAGAAGCTAAATAATTCCTCAACTGCTGGTAAAAGTATCCTCTAAAGCGGGTATCGGTAGTCAGATTTCTTAAAACAAAAAATATTTGAAAGTGAATAGCATTTTAATTATAATGGGCATATACTTACCTTATTTTCATAAATGCGAATCATTAAGCGGATAAATAGAAATAAACAAAATTATACAGAGTGTCTCAAAATTGTTGGTCAACAATGATTGATGCACAGAACCCCTGAACGTAAGGCAAGTACTTCATATAAAAAATTTCCGAACTGATTTTCATATAGAATTATGGGCTTTCAAAGTTTAAAAAATAAACTTATTCTTAATTATTACGCCGTTTATTTCACGTTCGTGAAATTTTTGTGGCGAAAGTAGCTCATAGATACTCGTCTTTTTGAATTGTAAATGTATCCCAAATCTTGTTATTGTACAGGTACGGTCAAAATTAACTTTTATAATGAGTACGAATTTAACGGTGTTTCCAAATTTGGGGATATGATGAAGCAGTTCGGTAGACCCATGTTTTGGCTGCAAAAAAGATATAACTTGTTTTTCTCGAAATCTCTTACGGCTTTTGAGATAAACCAATTTTTGGCAGTTTCTAGTGATAAAACTAATACTAACTTAATTTACTTAACTAAGGCAAATGTTCAAAATGCGTCCCATTGGTCCCTAGGCACTTTTCAAAACTGTTAAAATATTTTATTTGAACGCGGAAGAACAAATTTTGGTAATTTATAATAATAATATTATACTAATTTTATGGTATAATAATACGATAAAATATGTTATTCAGGGTGCAACTAGATGTTTAAACCAATTTGCAAAATGCATAGACAAATGAGACGCATGTTGGACATTTACCTTAGTTAAACATAGGTTGGATTTTATTTTCACATGCGTATTATTTTTAATAGTATTAGTTTTATCACTACAACTACAAAAAGTGTTTAATCTCAAAATCCGTAGGATATGTCAAGAAAAACAAGGTGTACCTTTCTTGAAGCAAAAAATGGGTCTATCTACCGACCTGATCATATCCCCAAATTTGGCGCAACGGCGTTAAATGTTTACTCATTATAGAAGTTAATTTTGACCCTACCTGTACAATAACAGGATTTCGGATAAATTGCCAATTAAGAATGACGCGTATCTGTGAACTTCTTTTGCTACAAAAATTTCACGAACGGCAAATAAACAGTGTAACAATCACGAATAAATTTGATTTTTCAACACGCCACTTTGAAAGCCCATAATTCGATACGCAAGCCAAGTCGGAAATTTGTTTTTATATGAAGTATTGGCCTTATTTTCAGATCTTCTGTACGCCCTATCATTGTTGACCCACAATTTCGGGACATTCTGTATATTGAAGACAACTTTCTTCTTACCTATTCTCCTCCATAATTTGCTTGGTACGTCCTTCGTTTCCGAGTTCATGTGGTTTAAGTGAAGTTCGATTTTGTGTTGAGCCTCCTTAAGTTGCTCCCTCGTTTCATGATGGGTCGGAGTGACTTTAAACAATCGCGCCAATAGCAAAGGATACTTGGTCACCCGCTGGACCGGAACCATCAAAAACGAGTTCAAATTCATCCTTCTCAGCATGGTATTTTCCATTTGCGATACCCTCAGGAAGATTCGCAACAGTTCTTTTTCCTTTTCAAGACCGGCTAAAAGTAGACTGGCGGTACCTATAAAATGGCAACCCGTATTAGAGGAGATTTTCTCCATTGGCTGAACAGCCTACCTTGGCGAACACAGTAAGTTTCAAAAGCGTGAAGCATTGGAGCTGCTTCAAGGAACAGTTTACCGATATTTACAGTCAGGAGGTCGTCATCGCCTTGCTCCAAAGCGATTTCTACCGCATCTCGCAGTCTTTCAGCCAATGCCTGACTATTCTCTAATAGTTCCTCCACATTTAAGAAGATGGCTGATAGCTGATCGGCAGTTAACAGGCCAGCCACCAGCATAGGCTGATAGAACTCTTCAAGAATAATCTGCAAGTCTCTGCTATATTTTTCTTCAGTTTCGACAATTTCCGTGATGATTTCCTTGCGTTCCGATCGCTTTTTGACGCATTTCCTACACAAAAGAGGATCGTTTTCAGTTTTGGAGTCCAACGTGGAATCACAGTCTTCACAAGATGCAAATATTTCCGGTTTGCTTCGGTATTTGCTCAAACTCGACTTGCTCGTTTCTGATCCCACTCCGGAGTCATTTCTTTCGACTTCTGCAGGTTTTTGGAATGTTGCTTTTTCGTCAATTAGGGCACCTTAAAACCGCAATTTATCACGCTTTGAAATATAAAGTTTTGACAGGTTTTCCAACATTACCTGATATTATCAAAGAATTATCTTCACTCGAGTCACTGACGGTGCTCATGTGAGATGCTCTATTATACGATTCTTTGGCTTCATCTTCGTTGTTTCCATTGGAATGAAAGTTGTATGTGTAGCCCTCTTCTTGAGCTATGCCGCGTTCTTTCGCGTCTACTAAGTAACTGAGGATGTCATATTTGGATGCTCCTTCGAAGATTGACCTATGATTCAAAGTAAACTTAATCAGATATCTGTTGCGTCAGTTGATCCTAAAACTCACCTGGTTGTAAACTCTTTGTCCAAATTCAAATCGTCCAGTATCAAGGACGGAGGAGGGTTAGCTGGTAGTGGAGGAGGCATCTCAATTTCTTCATAAATGGGATCATTGTTAACTTTGATACTTTCGTAGTGATGATCATCACTTTCAGATACTTCGATATTATCGCCTTCCGCTAATAGTTCATAAAATTTGGTGCGATTTGCCAACTCCTCTTCAGTGACTGAGCTTCTATTACTATGGTCCGTATAGCATTCTGAGCCTTGATCCATAGGTTCGTACTGGCTAAAGTCACCATCTTCTAAACCTATTTCGTCTCGCACAGATTCGTAGTTTCTTAGTCTTAGAAAAGAGTCTTCTAGGGAAATGGGAAGATTTGATTCTTCTAAAGGAGACTCGAGAAGAGACTCGGTTTTACCGAGGGGCAAGATGTGCTTGGGAAATTTGTTATCTCTTTGTCGCCTAGCCACATCTGATTTTCCACAGACATGGGGGACTAGATTGTGGCGAACTGCTTCAACGGGATCCCGAAGAAGTTCTTTCAGCAGCTCGGAAGATGAAGATGAATCTAAGGCGAGTCGCAAGGTTGGTTTGTCTTCGTGTTTAGCGATTCCAATCTCGAGGGTTTCAATCTCAGTAGTTGTATTGAAGGATGTCACCATCTCATTTGCGTCATTGGAACTCGCACGTCTGAACGATGTTTCTTTGGGTGTTTCTCCAATAGCAGGATGAGGACTGAAAGACCCTGTTATGTAAATCGTACTGCTGTTATGTTTGGTTGTGACCTGAACAGGATTCGATTCATCATTGACAACCACAGATGACTGATACAGAGGCACGTTATCATTAATTACTGTGGAATAACAGTCGTCGCCATTAATCATTATAGAGGTTTTTCTTTGAGGGTTTTCAAAAATCGAGATTATTTGTCCCCCATTCACATTGGCAAAATCTGCATAATCATTTTTAATTTTTATTTTATGATCCGTAACTGGCGAACAAATTTGCACTATGGTTTTATTTGCTTTGTCTGGTTTTGGAGACTCAATTTTGACGGATGGAGCAGCTTCAGCTAGATTCACGATTTTCACTCCAGCCTGCTTGCTGCTGCTGCGTTTTCGTGGTGGTGCACTTGGAGGTGACATCTCTTTTGCTACATCCTCAGGTTTGTTTACATTACTGTTAACAGATATTTTGTGAGCTTGAGCGGCTGCTTCAGCAACAGTCGATTTTTCTAACTCCTTTTTACCGGAGTCATTATCTGGTTTTTGGTCAACTGTACAGTTGTCTTCTGACTTCCGATCTTCAGCTGGCAGTTTATCTTCGATAGTAGTTTTTGCGTTATTACGCTCTTTTGGTTGTTGATCTGCGGTTATGGGCGGTGGTGGTGGCGCTCTAGTCGGCCGTAGCTTCAGTGGACTAATCTTGCGAGTTCTGGTAGTTATTCCGTCCAACTTTGCCAAAGCATGTTCAGAGAACACTAACCTCGAGTCACTTCGTTTTCGTGTTCGTAGAGCCATTGTGTCGTAAAATTCCACGCTCTCCTGGCCGCCATTGATACAATCGCTGTTACTTCGATAGACTTTTGGTGTTCGTTTTACTTCTGGGGCTGTAGAAAGGGTAGCCACATTATTTATTACATGACTAGATTATTTACAAAACATAAAGGACTTGATTTTCACAAAAATTATATTACCTTTCTTTGCAGTTGGTGGCTCAATATTCGTATCAATTTCTTCTAATGCATCTTCGAAGACTTCATCAGTAGTTTCATCTTTATCGATTGTGTGTGTTTCTGTTTCTTCATGTTTGAGTTTCGGTTCAACCGACTCAGTTATATTTTCGATTAATTCGAATGGTTCGTCTTTACCCACATCCAGAGCTTCTTCTTCACTTCCGTCAGTAAAACCTGGAAAATTTTATAGAGCATTGTGTGGTAGTTTCAAAGCTTCACACAATATTGTTGGCAACATTTTGTACGTTATACAGCATGAGATGTATTATTTCATTATCTCGTTTCATTAGTACTATAAACATCACAAACATATTATCGGGTAAATCTGCGAACACAGCGGCAATTTCAGGCCATTCTTTAGGATTATTATATATAATATTTGCTTTATGAATCCGTTGAGTTGCTAGTTCGCAATATGCAATGTATTTGATTAAGGTCTGAAAATATAGTGAAAGATTAGCTCAACTTAGCGGCTAGAGAAGGAACCAGTTACAAGTTAGAGGGAATATTAATTGCACTATTAAAACACTTTTTTTTGAATTCATTGAAGTTGAATGTTTTAAATGGTTGTCTAACTCGGATTTAAAAGTACACTTCTGAATCTCTAATTTCTTTATTTTTGACTGGCAACACAATTTAATTGTTAAATGGTGCAAAAATTGCAAATCCGTCCCAACAAATTTAAAATTTTCGCAAAATCGCATCGCTTCGCAGCTACAGAGCTTTGAACAAAGTTGTTTCTATTCTAGTTTTGTCTTCACAAGCTTGAAACCGTTCTGCTGATTGTAGTGAAAAGCGGAATACAAACACTTCTAATGACCTTACAGATGCTCCTTAAGTTTTACTCTCCCAATCCCTTGGGGTATTTTGTGGGCCAAAACGGCTGCACAGGGCTATTCACTGATTCATTTGTAAAATTTTGTTTCTTGTTATTTTTTGACGTTTTATTTTGTTTCTGATATCTATATTTATAGAATTCGGGACAATGTATTCACGTAAATTTCATGAAATGTTGCAGCAAGTGGTGGAAACCCATTGATTTGTGTCTTTTGACGTTTGTACAGAATACAAGTCTATTTCGTGGGTAACGTTTAGTGAAATTTACATGATTTAAGAGTCACATCGCCCGGATTTCTTCTTTTGTTTATTCACCTATTTGTAAAATTATTATGAAACATTCACCTATTTTTCGGTTCAATTTTGATTTAGCACTATATTTGCATTTTCAATACAATTCTTGTTATGGATTTTTGAATGTAAGGAATTTACATTTTTAATACTTACCAGCGTCCAAAAACTGAACCTTTTTCCGAGGAGTTAACGGCATTGGTACGGGAACATAAAATTTGGTGCCTGTTTTTCGGGTCGAAGTAGGGCTTACTGCTTCCTCCACATCCGAATATGGAGATGAATCGCCGTTGTAGTTCGATCCTCTTTTTTTCAATATTGACTTGAAACGACTTGAATTGAGGGTATTATATGCGGAGTCCGAATCCTTGTCAGGCTTTGCGGGCGTTGATAACTAGAGTCATAGTAATCAGATGTAAAGTTTTTATACCTGACTTTAACCTAAAGTCGAAAATCTAGAATATTCTGAATACAAACCAATCGAACTCCTGATGAATTATCCTCGGACAATTGCGCAACTGAGAACTGCGAAATCGCTTTGTTGGGCAGTTTGCCATTTTTAGGAACTTGGACGTCTTCATAGTCCTGATGGTCCACATCTGATCGCAACCTTATGCGCTGCCCATTCACTAAAGTAACATTTTTATGTTTTGGAACTTTTGCTTCCTTGGATTTTGCTGCACTTTCATTGCACATTAACTCGTATGGATTAACATCGCATTCTAAAATCGAGCGACGCCCGAAAGTCGAATTGTATGAAGTATTCTGTTTTGTACCTGGAAAACATACATTTTTCATACATGGGTTTTAATGAAGGCATTTATATCCATTTCTGGTTGTGCGGTTGGGACACCTACTTTTTCCTTTGCTCCCACTGTTGTTCGGTTTTGTATTATCTCTGCTATTTTTTGTAGGAGATTTTGTAGTGTCACGAAAAGGGGAAACAGTCGAAGTTGTTTCTGGAACCGATAGCCTTGATCTTCTCATCAGATCGTAGGGGTCTGCTGTGGGCAGAATAGATGGCCGGGATGATGAAGTAACACGAACCGTCCCGGCCCTTAGAGGGGCACTGGAAGCGATCTGCTGCGATGTCGGATAACATCGTACCTAGAATGTGTGCTTTGATCAGCACGATGTTGCTGAGATTTTACTCAAGTTCTCACCGTTCCAAACTTCGAATCGGTAGAAGTTAGAGGCAATCGTGTACCTTTGCACTTTTTGCACAAATGAGGCGATTTTTTCGATGAGGATCGCCTACTACCTGTTACGTAATCGGAACATTGGCACAGCACTAAAGCAGGGGCTAACAGGAGGCCTCCAGAAGTGCTCACGCTGCCGTAAAGCCACGGCTCTGCGTACCGCATGGAGCGCGACAAGGCTCCGGTGCTGCCTGATGATGATCGATTAGAAACGTCACCGCCGCGCCGAGAGCTGCTTTCACTCTGGAAATGGAATATTCATGAATTAGATGTCAAATATTTATAAGTTTTTGAGCATACGAACTGTTGAATGGACCTCAATCAAGTGATTTTCCAAAATATATTTTATTATAATTGTTTTCAGTTCAGAGGACACAAAAAAAGTTGTGAGTGAGTGAAACGAAGATTACCTTGAGGCAACTGAAAAATATCCTAGTGAAGGTTCAGGATTACAGCAACTCAGGAAAATCAATTGTAATCCTTGAAAACATATGTGCAGGAGAGCAGAATTTTAGAGAACGATTGGCTGCTGAAGGAGTTTGTTTATTAAATAAAACGGATATAAGAAGAATGGAAAATGATTCTACTTTTCAATGGAACATGCAGGTGTCCTGCAAACACTACGGTTTCTGTTAAAAAAAAACGACTTTTTGTTATTTCCTTCAGAATTTTCGGAACATCGTCATCTTTTTATATTTAATTGTTCCCATTTTGATCTTTATTGAAATATGTTTTTCACTCGAGTCAATGTACCAATTGGTACAGTTTTGTTATGATACTCTCGGTGTGTGTATTCAGCGGCGGCATTCATCAATTCTTTTAGTCTTTATCCGTATTAGTTTTTGCGAAATATACGAATGTGAATATTTAAATATTCCCTAACTTTTAACAATCCTTGTTTTTTCAATGGTAATCCGATGTAATAATAATACTGATCTGGACCTTTCGAAAAAATAATTCGTACTCAATAAGTTTTCAGTGTGTATGTAAGTCACCTGGATCTCGCATCGATAATTCCCAGCGCAAGTTTTCTTCGATATTGGGTTTTATTCTTTATTATTTTCGCATTTGAATTTACCATGATTATTTTGTGATATGCTTCTTCACATATCTAAGTGTTTGATATATCTGTGTACCATTATCTTATCCGTTTGTCCTTGTATCCCTTTTGCTCACAGCCCTGTATCTAACATACAGGGCTGTGATCTATCATACAGATCTGTATGTATCTAACATACATACAGCACAATTTGTAACATTGTTGACTGACAAGAAATGCATTTTTTTTTTCGCAAAAACTATGAATGCTATGAAGTTTTTACCAAGAGCACAAAATTGCGAATACATGATTAGTACATGAACCAAAAAATGAGTTGATTTCCTCGACCAAATAAAAAGTTCTGGTAGTTTTTGTACCACAACACTCAATAATTCACCACTTGTCCAAAACGCCTGAACTCGATTGTTTCATCAAAATATGAGGCTTACATAGGAACAAATTCACAGCAAATTTCACCAAGATACATCGTACCATTCTCCTGATATTTCAAAAGGATAGTTTTTTTGAAGAAATTTGGCCATCAGTAGCAGAGGAGCCAGACATTTTTTGTTAATAAAAGTTGGGTCAGATCGTCTTCTTTTGATGCAAAGAATATCGCAGTATCCTTTTGATCATGTGCTTATGGGACACCATGTATATTAAATATTAGTAATAAGTATTTATTAGCTTGATCACTTACCCTTAAACCGTATGATGAGTGTACGGCATCTGGAGGCGACGTAGGAAATCGATGCATTGCATGGCTAACCAAAGCTGCCATAGGAGTGCAACATATGTGTTAACATGTCACTGAAATTACAAACAGCAAATGTTAAAATTGCAAAAATGTTCAGCTAATTAACTAACAAAAAAAATGACATTTACACTATTTTAAAAGTTCAGTTATATCTGCTCACATTTTCACAACTTGTCCGTTTTTCGTAAATATGAATTATTAATTATTTAATTGAGCAAAACTAATCGAGTTTACTCAAACCATGAACAAACTAATAACATATAAAAACAATCAATAAAATGTTAAATTTGCTTTGCAACGCGTCTTAATTCGTAAACAAGTTAAAGAATACATGAATTTTTATTAACCAAGTTGATTTTTCAAATATTGGGAAACCCTAGTAAGTAAATAAAATTATTGCATATCACATGCATACCTACAAAAAATGTGCAGAATTGTATTTTCCAACTAAAAAAGTTGAATGAAATGAGTGACTTTTTAGCATGATTGGAAGTGAAACAGCAAGACAAATTACGGCAAAAATTAAAAATAAATTTGCTACGATATGTATACGGACATCAACTAGTGGAGTGATGTTTCATGTTGGAGTTTTTTAATTTAGCTCATGTTTAAATGAGATTTGAACACTGTTTTTAATTCTCACGGCGCTTTTTTCGGAGACAACAAAATACAACAATTAATTACTTAGAAACTATTTCGTTAAGAAAATGTTTACTGTTATCATTTCCTTTATATATTTTTTAAATATAAACCGTTACATAAAAAGAGTAACCTTCTAATATGCGGATATTTCAGTCTTTCTCTATTTTGGTTACAAATTAATCTTTTATGCCAATGACGGAACTTTTTTATGGCTTTCGCTGAATTTTTCAGTACATTTTTAAATCAAATCAAAGGGCATATGCATATTAAAACGAACTCTTGAAAATTACCTTCTGAACCCGTCCTTAAAATATGTTGACTTCATTTGCAACACCTTGCATATGTTCTCAATTTTTTGTTCAAATTAGATCCTTTTTTTCTAAATGCCTTGCTGGTCATTTGCAATAACTGAAAAATTAATTTTAAAGTTTTGTTCGTTCTTCGTTCATCTTTCTGTCTATTATTTATGGCATCATCAAGTACAAAGTGGTAGCTGAAGTCACAATGCCTCTTTTAATATAAAGCCGAGCTAGTGATCTGTTCTAAAATGAACAAAGCTGCCTGTGATTTACATAGAAATCGCTGTTTAAGTGACAATCAAATATTCACCGGGTGAATATAAAAGTCGGTGAAGCGTTTTTCCTGTCCAGATGTGTTGAAAATGTATGCCACTTCACGAGCGAAGCCTTTTTATTGGGCTTTAATGCTTCTTAATTTACTTCTATGGTATCCGATGAGAAACGGAAAGTCGTATATGAAAATATTCATCAGTTTGTCGATTTTATTGAGAACGATATCACTTCTGTCCTTCTCGGGAACATTGGCTCATCTGATCCTGGTAAAAAAGAGTAAGTTGTGCCTATGAAACTTTAGAAGAAACGTAGAGAACTGGAAGTATGAGTATTTTTCAGATGGAACGAACATTGATATTAGCGAAGATATTGGCGATATATTCGGCTTTGTCGGTTGTATGTCAGTTAGCATAAATTTTTCAATTTATCATGGAAGTTGGTCTAGATTCTTCAACAACTTGCTCAACTTTGGACAATTTGGAGAACCACCGGGTTATAAAAAAATCGTTAAAAGAGGAAACATGATTTCCTTAGTGTGTATTATCTACACATTTCCAGGCATGTTATGGTACTGTTTACTTTCCTACATGCAGGTGCCGCATTGCAAGGAAATGAATGTGAAAATGGGCCTCAATGAACCATGTGGAATGATAAATCCTACTTGGCTGCCCGTCAAAGAAATGGACAAATCACATTTTAAATTAGTTTACATATTTCAAGCTGTAGGCATTTTTGTGTATCTTCCGTCTACTTTGGTTATTAGCAGCATTCCACTGGAAGCTGTGGAAATTATTGTGGCTCGATTGAACCATTTGAAGGGACTTTTTCGCGACGCTTTCAAATCTGAGGATCCGAAAATTTGTTCAAAACAGTTATCCTACTGCATCCGCTACCACCAAGACATCATCAAGTATGTCTAATCGTTTAATAAATTGCCCAATTACTTAAAAATCTAAAAATTCTTTGTGGTTACTACATTTGTAGAGTCTCTCAAGAATTAAGTGGTCTGGTTAAGCCAACTATGGGAAGCTTATTCCTAACAGCAGCCATTGTTATCGGGTCATTAGGCAGTCAGATACTCAAGGTGGTTAATTAAAATTAGTTAATTTTAAACTAAAATACAAATTATTTTATGATACTAAAACGCAGGCATCTACACCAAAAGCCATCTCTTTTATCATGGGATATATACTGACCGTGTTTATAGGATGTCATGCTGGGCAAAGACTGATTGATGAGGTAACGTTATTACAAGTTGTTAGCGATCCAAATCAAAGCCATGTTCATTAACATTTGGTTATTGGTAGTAATGCAGTGCAACGCCAATTTCAATTTTACTACTATTTCCATTGATGAGCTTTAAATTATTGCATAACATAAGCAGAGCATTTTAGAGCCTAGACCTGGCAAAATATGTGTACGACACCAGATGGTATGAGATGGAGCCCAAAGTGAGGAAAGATATTGTATTCATTCTGAAAAGATGTCAAAAACCCATCACTTTGGGTGCACCACCTTCAATGGGTTCAGCTGGATATTTACTATTTTTTATTGTAAGCTGAGAGGATATTATTATCATAACTACTGATAATTTCTCAAATATGTTTCAGCTGATTAAAACATCGTACACCTACCTGACGCTTCTTAATGAGCTGGAGTAGTTGACGCCATTAAACTGATCAAGGAGAATTTATGCTGATAGAGTCTTTTTATTTTAAAAATTATGCTTTTATCTTTAATATTTAGCTAACCGCGAGCAAAAATCTAGTAGAGCATTAATCTTCTTATGAAAACTATGCGACAGCAAATCGACACATTTTCGCATGTAGTTATTGCAATTCCTATAACCTAAACAATTCTAACGTAGTATTAAAACAAGACCTACGTTTGAAATTAAAATTAAATTCAGAAGAACAAACTCTAAAATAACAATAAAAAACAGGATGGTKATTTTCGCCAAAATGTGTGCGTTACWAATCCTTGAACTTCTTTCGRCGACCGACTACAAAATYATACCTAAAAATGGGAAACATGCTGYAGAAWTATTTTAATATGGATAATTTCGARTATCGCATATATTTAAAGTTATACGAAGCGATTAGTAACTGGTAAAATTTATGAGGGRTTCTGACTGTTACATACAAAAAMAATATAKTTCTCCGATTCTAAGTSYCTTSGGTTTTTTTATTSCTTAAAGAATKTATCWAAAGAAAAAWTTCTAYTAAAAAATCTAWACTAAAATATCACGAAGATGTACSTTTTACTGMAATTAAWARCTGTAGSTTTTTTCACTTYTGTAGCTAAATTAGATTTYCCACTCAMCTTTWAAAAAAWTATTTATCGAGACAGATGGAAATAGAATTGAGAATTTTATATAGTGTCTGTTTTAGTTTTTACAGTTGGTGTTGGTATTGGACATTSTAAACATCATGGAAGCTGCAAATCGARCAGCAGAATTACCAAAARAGTTTTTATTCTGTTAAAGTWATTTTTTCAATTCAAAATTTACAGTCGAGTTGACCCWTAAATTATTTTGTTTAAAACCCTCYCTCTTGGGTATTTCAACTGAAAAYTGTAGCATTTTGAAAGGGCAAAAGTTYCTCACCGCATTTAGTACGAATTGATAATAAGTGTTCTTATTTCTCAATTAAGAGCGAATACTTATACGCTTTATACAAATTRTTAWWATTATTAATGTATTTCTCTATTATCTTTTCACTCTATATCAATTGGCAATAAAAGAGGTGACGAAATYTTATCTTTCCAAASGACACAAMAWTTGGGGACAGGACACCCAARAAAATCGTTTGGAAAACCAAAAAAACCAAAGAAAATGGTTTGAAAAGTCCTTYATGGGTTAATYCRCCKCAACAARTTCAKTCTGAACTTGYCTAAATTCGWTGAAATAAAGATTTTCTTTCAAGAGACTAATRAAGTCATTATAAKGAATCTSAAAAAGCATTYGTAAATCATAAAGGCAAAAATGTTGTCACAAGAAATTTTAATTATTTTGTTTTTTTCTTATCTCCCGATAAAATAGTGTAACACTGTGTTTTCTTAGTCTTTGTGCATTTGCTGTAGTTTTGCCAAATACAGCTGATATGTCCAAACAATTTTCTAGCTTCTTCAATGTCTTAATTAGCATCAATTCACTGGAACGAAACGAAAACAATTAGGCACAGTCATTGCAAGAAGCAAGTTTATTATAATAAATCCCGATTAACATTCTGTTAGTATTGATATAAGTAGAATAATAATATAATACAACATAAGTAGAATCGGATCTTGGTGTACCTACCGCTTTGCTCTTGTTATCCTTCTTAATTTTATCAAACATTATTTTCCGCTAAAGAAAACTTAGCAAAAGAAACAACAGCGTTGATAGTATTCATTAAGCACATTACCACAAATGTTTTTAATTGGGTAATTTAGGACCGAGCCAATTATTCGAATCATTTATAAATTCTAAAATTAGATCAACGTGCTGAGTGGAAAGCAAGCCTTCACGTACTCTTATAAAATGCTAAAACCTAAAATGTTTCTACAGCAGACTGACTACTTAGACTTCCTTCCTAATTAATTGCCAATAAAATATTAAAATTCCAGTTAAAACCTCACAATTATTCTGCTATAAGTGATTTCTTTGAAAATCGTTTATTAATATGGTAACTTCATTGCTTGCAGCAGGTATCCAATTAAATATTCACGCTTTACAGTAATAATGGCCCGGTATTTTGGAACACAGTGGATGAATTATCATGCTTTATGAACTCGCATTATTTAAAATACCGTATAATCCAACAAAAATGTGTAAATTTATGTAATTTCCAATTATAGATATATCATATTTAGCTAATGCACTTTGCATGAACAAATTGAGGTCATTTATAAAATGTGCAATTTTATAATATGAATTGGCTGTAATAAATGTACGCTTATTGGCATCTGGCAATAGCACGGAAAATAGATATTTTAAACGTATTTCCGTAGTTTTAATGGCAATCAAACTATATGCTTCAATATGTGTGAGTTTCATCGGCTTTGTTATAATGCATAAGTAATGGAAATTGCATTTTAGCAGATAATTCAACGGAAAGTCTCTGAACGATCAACTTTTTCTACAATTTTAACATTTCAACTGTAAATTCTATTATGAATATATGAATGCATACCCACTCTTTCTTTAGATTCATACTCAATCAAGTTCTTGACAAGATATTTATTACAAACGAGATGGTTACCAAAACGCGATAACTTACAAAACCCATTGTCAAAATAACTGAATTCTAGATCTTTAATGCACCATAACAGTGCACCATCCCCTATGAGATTATCCTTCTTTGAAACCATCTTTTATAACAAATTCATTTTTTAACGTGTGATTTATTCTCAAACACGCTCATGTTATCTTTTTAAAAACTCAATCAAATTTAGCACCGTCGTTCTGATGATTTGCATGCAGATCGGCCCATAAGAAAGTAATAAAATATTCATCGTGTGAATATAAAGTTTCGGGACTCTTTTTCCGGGCACACATTTGTGGAAAATGTACGCCACAGCAAAAGATAAGCCATTTTATTCAGCTTTAATACTTCCTAATATATTCGGATCGTATCCGTTGAGTAATGTGAAAGCTTATAAAAGAATATCGTTCAAGTTTGTCTGCTTTATTGAAAATTACATCAGTTCTGGCTGGTTTAATACCCTTAGATTTTGCAACAAAAATGTTCGAGTAAAAAAAGATACGTGAATAATTTAAGTTATTTTCTTACAGAGAGAGATTTTCACCTAAAAATACATGATACGTTCTTCAGCTGAAATAGTTGAAGCTCATACCATATATAGAGGTTGTCCTCAAATAATGTTCAGTTTGCCCTGAGTGACTGCTCTGGGCAAACATTTTTTGTCCTACACGATATTTTGATGAAGATATGACAAATATAGTAGCAAATTTGATTGTTTCAACTACACTATAAATATTTACTTTGATAGGCAGTTTTTCGGCTCGTGATTTCAATCAATTGTGCACTTTTTGGATTAATACATTAGTATTGAAAAAGTAAAATATTAAAAAATATAAAATTGAGCAAAACTTGCTTAATAAATACTAACGCTTCAAAATCAAAGAATAAATATTTCAATGTATTTCAGTTATATCACATTTACCTATCGCAATTTGCATCAACAAATTGGGTCATTTATTATCGATGCTATTTCATAATACAAATTGCAATAACAGCCTGCTCATTGGTATCTGATTAATCATACATCACACACGAGTACAAGAATTAATTTTTAAGTAAATAGCAATTTATATATAAAATTTATCATCATATCAATCATAACAATTCAGGAATGTTAAATTTATTTAGTAACTTTCTTGCTTGAGATACGGCAACAGTAAAACGAAAATAAAATAGTTAGCACCCATCAAATTTTAAAAATGAACATGGCAAAATTATCTTAATAACTGTGGGCATACTTCTCACAGATTGGGAATTTTATTAGATAACAATCGTGATCATTTATTAGCAATTATTCAGTTAACTTCAATGTCAGAACTATTTCCAGCAATATATGACTTTAATAATAGAAGCAATTTTTGCCATAAAAATATATATAAATGATATATATAAATGAAAATATCAAAAATGTGATCGTTTTCTAAAGCACACATTTGCGCAATGTTATATCACAGTTTCAATGCCTACTTGTTTAAAATGGGCCGGCCAATAGCATAACATTTAGAAATAAAAAATAACATTAGGTGGGGAAACACGTATAAACAATAATAAAAATTGTGAATCACGCTTGATTAAACAGGCATAATTCAATCCTTAAGCTATCTGAACATAATTGAAAAAATGCGTGTAGATTGAAAATGGAGTAAAAAAACTGAAGGAGGATATAAAAAACATATTGTACTAGCGACTGATGATGAAGGTCAAATTTTGCAAAGTTTCGCATAGATAAGTTCTATATTGTTGACGCAAATTCATTTTTTTACAAACTGCTTGTTGGGTATTTCGCCTCAAAAATTTTTGTCTTCAAAAAAGAAAGAATTTCCTCACGTCTTTTATTTTATTTTTATTTTATCAATCTGTAATAAAAGACGTGAGTCAATTCTGTCTTTTTTAAAGACAAAAAGTTTTGCGGCGAAATACCCAACAAACAGTTTGTAAAAAAACGTTTCGCATGTTTCCTTCTGCATAATCAGGACATTTTGAAATCAACAATTTAAGAAGTCGAGGTCTAGAACCACCCAGCATTCTCTTTGTTTAAGAAATATTTATAATTTTTTTATTGTACTTTTGAACCAAGTATTTTTGATATTAAAATTAATCTAAATCGTTTTGAGCCAGTCACTAGAAGAAGTTTCACGTTTTGTGCTTTAATTTATTAGCTCATTTTAAATATCGACATTTTAATATTTTTAAATACGACTAACTATCGAGATTGTTTGACTGGTTGATTTGTGTGCCTCTTGCTTCCTGTTTACATTTCAATATACAATTACAAATACTGTTCAATTTAAAAGTTTTAATCTGTAATTTAACTAACACGAAACGTTTAAATCGAAAGCGGGTATTGCGGTTGGCACCAAATTTTTAGATTTTTTTGCATTTTGACAATTTTGCACCAGATTTCGACGAAGGAAACAATAGCCAGATATGAAATGCATTGATCATGCGGAAGTAAATTTGCGAAAGACTCACAAATAATGTTTTATAAAAAAGAAACATGAAAAACATAAGTATTCGCTGCCACTGTCCCGTCAGAACGTCTGCTATTTTATTAAATTACTTATGATTACTGCTATTCGAACAGGTCGACATCAGGTTTTTACCCCGTGACAGAAACTTAATTCCCTCAAAGGTATTTGCATAGTTTTAATAAATATCTCGAGCATATGCGAAGCTTAGACACCTTGTACTTATACAAATTAACTTTATTAAGGTGATAAAACAGGATGGCAGTCTTCCGAGGTAAATAATATTGCTCTACGAAGAAAGAATCTGCAGAATTTCTCATTACTTCTGACTATCTATCTCCTTTCCACAAAATATGTCGGTAATGCTCTGAAACATATATGGAAGATTTTCAGTTTTATTTCTTAATGGTCAGCCTTAAATATTACTTAATTAGAGCTATTTTCTATTTGCTTGGTTTGTTTTGCAAAATATGATGCTTTGTTTGAAGATCATAATTCAACTTCCATTATTGTAATTTAATAATACAGTGAAATAGTCGTCAATGTTTCTACTCATGTTACTCTAATGACAATAATAGTAATCACCGCTTAAACTTTAGATGATCGGCAGACCCTATTCACTTTCCTATTGAAGAAAGCTGGCGCCCCTGTGTGTTTTAATATTTCACTTTCAATTATATTGATTAAATAATTCTTCCAGCAAATAAACGGCTATTTAGATGCATGCATAACGCTATCACATATATTTTACATTATATTAACTGGTTGGACGAAAACTTTTAATCGATCTCTGATTCATCTTAGTGGGGAAGTAGGCCGATTTGAAGAGAGATTCTTGCTGCAGGCTAAGTTTCGACTCCTCCTGATTACGAGTTTATGTGCATTGCACCTGCTGCCAGGATTGTACTACGAAAAAGACAATGAATGCATTTTTAAGAAAATAATAAGTAAACAATTAAACACCATAAACTGACTTCACCATCTGTTACTAAAAATAAGGAAATTTGCAAATGATTTCGATACTGTCGGATTGTGTTCTATTAGCTTGCAACGAAGCGACTTAAAATCCTTTCATCATCGTGCAGGATTTAGCTGCTGCTTGATAAGACGTGATATGTATTAACGATTATAACATTGTATCTATAGAGCTTTTAAGCTTTGCATACATTATGCAGATAGGAACTGCTCTCCGCTTCTAAGTGTACACCAATTAAGCACTGGTACAGTTCGTTCAATTTGCTTCATATCTTTAAGTGGAATCGTTGTTTGTCCATTTCACTAAGTAACTGAAGATTCAACTCATGGCCTCTAATACGAAAATCTAGCTTCTGTACCTGTTTGTCTATATCTTTTTTGTATATATTTATATATTTCTAGTATCTGTTTGTCCGTTCAAAAACCTTAATTTCTGATGCCTCGAGTAAGTTGTTTTCCAATTACCCCAAAAAAAGTGAAAATATGCTATGTCAAACTTCAATGTTTCAATAATTAGTTCCTAGCGTGCATCTGGTAGATTCATCTCACTCCATCCCTGTTAACGGTACATTCATCTGATGAGTGAAAGTGAAGCCCAACAACAAAACACATTTTATTTACAATTAACTTGGCTTCTCTGAAGACGGCTTTCATGGCTCGACAGGAAAGCGATTAGGCAAATTTCGTTCGCATGGTTCACTTTTGATTTTTAAAGGCCAATGGCAACATCAACCTTACTCTCATCACATTTTCCAATTCATCAAATTGAAAATGGCATGATAATGCTCAATTGTATAATGATTAACAATGTTTCCCAGGAGTCACGAAGATACTTTATTTCAAATGTTGCGTCTTTTAATCAGGGAGAGTTTTTACTACTAAAGTTAAATCGTTTGTTCAACTGGTTCGATTCAGACTATCTATTTGTAGAAAAATGAAATTCCCACAGGACCGGAAGGATGTTGAAACGAATCAATTGGAATTGAAGTGGAGATCAATCAACATCGATGCAGTTTTGCATTTTTTATGCATGGTGGTCTTAGTCATGGCTATTTAATGTGCATTTTAATTGATTCTCTAAAACATTTGATCTAATGGTCACGTTCTTCTTATCAATCGCAATATTTAACTATACTATACTATGATTTTTTAAATTTCTAGATTGTGAATTGTTTAGTACTTAATGCACATACAGTTCATTAGGTGTGGACTTCATTTTCCGATTCTAATCCACATTGGTCTCATTTTGTAACGAAAAGTGGTCAGCCAGGTTTGTGCTTTAAAACGCAAGCGAATGAGCTTTCCTCCTCATAATTGGAATTCTTGCAGCGTTCAATGAAACACTGTTAGATTTCCTTGGTCAAAATTAAAATGCATCCAGTAAAAGTTTTAAAGTTTTGCCTTGGTGGGAATGATTGTCGCTTCTGGGTGCAAATAGACCATTGAACAAACTAATGGCTTCTAATGTACAATAGCTGACTAGCAATTAGAAACATGCTCTTACTTCAACATTAATACCGATAACATTGTCAAAACTTAGTGAAAACTAGCAAAATATCAAATGATCCCTTTGTGATTAATAGCTGTAGATGCTGATAACGTTTGTGGTAAATGTTCGTGATAGTGATAGCAGATAGCCAACGCAAAGAACTGCTTTCTCGACCATGTTAGATAGGCCGTTGACACGTGGTCGTGAAAGCCTTTCCTCGATTCATTGCCAATGCCAAAGGTCGGGCATTTTTTCGGTATCATTAAGAGATAGGCAGAATTTCGCAATGTAGGCGAAATTAGAATGGTAGAATTTGCCAAATTATTAAATGTGAGGTTGGTGCCTTAACATCTGCTCAACCGTAACTAAAGTTGAACACAGTTGAAAGTAATTTGGTATGTGTTTTACATCCAGTTTCATTTAAATGCAAAAGCACAGGATCGCTTGCTTTTGCATTGCAAACATTTTTTATCACGACTTTACGAAGTACACATAGATGGAGGGTTGAAGAAATATTGAATTTAGTTAGAACTTTCACGTCTACCTACTTCTGGATAATGTTGGTATAAAGTTTATTGACGTGGAGGACAAGCTATTGAAAGTATGGCATCGGTCAAATCGATGTACTATATGAAATAATTCGATATTAGTAAAATTATACTTTTTGTAAAAATAAATCTATGCCGATTTAGGTAATTATTGTATTCAATAGAAGTGTTTATTAGTTTTGCCAGAGAACGCAAATTACTTTCATAACAGTGTTACGGTTTTATCTGAAAAACAACATCAAATTTGCAGGAAACTGCGTAAAATGAGCAGTTCAACATCTTCATTAGAAGAAAATGTTTGTCATCATCGTCATCAAATATTTTCTTTTGTCATATTTCGTGCCTTTTATTATACATTATCTAAGCATGGAGTTGAAGTACTTTTTGAAGCTAACTGTTTATATGGAACAATAATGTGAACATTTTCAATAATCATGGATCATTTTTTTTAGACAAACAATTATAAACTTTATGAATTAAAAAGTTATCTCCGTTTTATAAAATACAGCTATCGCTTTTGCACTAGACTTTAAAAATCGAATTTTTACAATTTTGAAATTTGGCTATTATGTTTCGGCTGCAATTTTCTCAGAATGTTTTTTGTACATCTTCAGAAATAAAAATCTTACTCAAATAAATTGTTAAAATAATTTTATAATAATAATACAGAAACTAAATACATTTTGCACTTGAAAAAATAATTTACTCACGTTATAAAATGCAAATTCTCAGTGTCTTATATGTTATTTATATCCAAAAGTATGTGTGAGGTACATGTATTTGAAAAAAAAATTAGTAAACACCAGTTCCTATAAGTAAGTTGTTTTGTCATGCAATAGAACAACACTTTCTTTGATTAAAAAGAAACCAAACCCAAATAATTCCCACTAATCACATGTATTAAAACCTATTCTTCTTCATCGATCGATACTGTCCAAAACCTTGTCCACTATAAGTCACGATTCAAAATCAAACAACGCTCATGGAATTGTTTTTTCCTCTTAATAGCTATTCATTAAATTCCGTATTGTAATATTAACTACTACAAGATCCGTAAAAGACAAACAATAGATTCCATAAGACAATAGGATGCCACAATATGCCACATTAACATATCGCATAGCACTTTTATTGGCTTCTCGCAGAAAGTGAAAAGTAAAGTTCCCTTATCGGGAACAATCTTCGAATTTGTAGGCCAACTTGTATAACGAAGTAGAAAGAAAGTGAAGAAGCCGATTAATTTTATAACGTCATTGATTAAATGTTTAATTAATATCGCAAGACGTCGACGATCGAATTAACAAGTTTACCCTGTTTAATTGCTCTCTTAGCTAATAGGTCAAGAATTTTTAATGTGTTATTTTCAAATCTCCATTAAATTTGTGATATAATTTTATGTTAATTTTTAATTTGTTTCATTGGACATGCGCATATCAAAATCGTGTTAGTGATCTATAAAAACCAAGTGTATGTTAAACCGAATTTTTATTTTAAACAAAGCTGGTGCTCTCATAGAAGCGTTGAAGAACGGTTTAAGCGTTCTTCTTTTGAGAGATGTAATAATAATTGAAAAGAGAGATTTTTTCAACCGAGCCTTTAGAGAAAATCTTTTAAAAACTTTCGAAAATGCATATAATGTCAGGTGATCAAAATATAGCTATTCAAAAGCCTTATCAAGTTGAGTTTATCACTCATCAATAATCTTCAACCGTCTCCGAGTTTTTTCCTTTTACAATTTTTGCTTCTATTATTTTGGAGGCTAGAGAATTGCAGTAATTATCGAAAAAGACATAACGGCTGATCAGTTATTTCTCACTCTTTCTGAAATGTAATGTTCGTAAGCCGTTTAGAGGTTGATATTTTTACTTGTATTTCAGTACACAACCACCAACCAAAACATTATTGGTGGTGGCAAATTCTCGAAAGGGGCCATCAAGAAGGTCCATATTTTGCAAATTTTCTGCAAAAATTTATGATATGGGTACTCATATTCCTATTAATCTTACCAGCTGTCCATATACAAAACGAACCTTAAAAATTGAAAGAAGTTTGCTACTTACCAAATTGGTAAGGGCCCATCACCCATGCGAATCTGAAATTTGAAAACGTGATTTTACTTCGATTGTATTAGAAATCAGTCAGACCAATTATAATATTTTAAAGTTGGAAAACAAATTTTAATTAAAATACATACAATATAAATTATGTATATCTCGCAGTTGCTAAATAACACGAGAAAGTACGAAATGTCCATTCGAATTTTCCGCTTTAGATTGGCGCGCTTATCCCATTATAAGATATTTGAAAGTAATTTATAACTTAGATAAATTTGTCCCAAGCGCCATTAAACTCTTATTTTGCAAAATGCCTTAGAATTTGCTCCAATTGTGCAATATTTAAATGCACTGCTATAATTGAGTAAGAATTTAATATATTAAATTGCATTAATTACACACAACACAACTGTTTCTTAAGTGTATTATGGGCGCATTCTTGTTCAAAACCACTGATTCCTAGTGCATTCAGTCGCAGCTTTCTGAAGCATTTAAAAAAATATCAATCTGTTTTTTAAGTCTCATTACATATCAATAAATGTGTTAATCTTTGCTTTCAAATGCTAAAATACCAACTCTCAAGTTTAATAAATGCCGAATCATCTCTTCACAGTATTAAGCATTGTTCTGCAAGTAGCAATAAAAATCCAAATAAATCGCACTTTACAAGGTTTGTTGGGCTTAAAAATCCGATTTGCCTTTCTCCTAGCGGGCAGGTTAGAGGCAATTAATTAAATATATAAAGTTACGGCTTTTCATCATTATAAACTCCAATTAATCCTCCTTGTTACGACCTTGCTTAAGATGCCCATATACAAAACACTTTCTCCGGGTCAAGTTTACCTTCACACAACTTTTGGTTTTGTTGTCGTGTAGGGTGCGGTCCGATTAAAAACATTTCACTTTGCCTAGGGCTTTAAAAACCAATTTTATTTCGCAACTTTAAGATTTATTGGAAATGTTTTGTTGAATCTAAATTTCACTTATCTATGAAAGAACAACACAAAGTAACGGAGCATTTTAGGAATAACTTGTATTAGATGACATGTTGACCGCGTTTGATTCAGAAAGTTTTTGAAGGATATCGGTAGAATCTTTATCGTCCAGCGACTTTATTCAATATGGAAATGTTGTAACTGGATAGATTTTATTAAATGTCCCTTAATGCCATTTATTATATCGCGTTTTCTGGTAAAAGCAGTTGGCCTAAAGTTATTCTTTGGAATATTCAGCATTAAAACTTATCTGCAAAGATTGAGCGGCTGTCTTCGTGTGATTTTCAAGCGAACCAAAGGATAACAGATTATAATTTATTGCAATTGGAGGAAATATAGTTAGAACTGGAGTGGTTTCTGTATGCATATATTTTATTTTTTCATTCAATTCAACATACATACGATAATGTACTGTACAGGGCAGAAAGACCGATTGGGTCGATAGCCTTTTTCTGTAGGAAATAAAGATTATTTATATATATATGTACTGTACATGTTCAATTAGGTCCATAAAGTCTTTATTGAAACGGCTTTTAAAACCGACCGCGTTTTAATAACATGCTGCTTTAGTTATTGCAAAATAGTTATAAATTATTGCAAAGCTGAAATATATTCGCTTTAACTGTGCTTGTTGTTTACAAATGGCTTGCAATTATCCAGCATTCATTATGTAAGTTCATATGCTACGATATTAGCAGTTAACGCAGTTAACTATGTAACATAAAAAATATTAATGGCTAATTGGGAATGACTTCTTGAACCAAAGGTCATAAAATACACTTTAAGACGAAAGAACAGGGAGCTTTAGCGGTCCACACTTTTTTGCAGACCGTAAAATAACTTTCCCAGTTACTTTCTTCTGGTTAACAGTCACCATAAATTGTTGGTAACATTCAATTATCTTCGGCTGTATGACATTGATGGTATCGGGTCTTAAGAAAAACGATGATTCATTCAGACTACACTTATAGTGCTTTAAGCCATTTTAGAGAAAATATCGACAAAACTGCAATACAATTAAATCTTATTATAACTTATTAGCACAACTTCCAAAGTAAAACTGATTGTATCGCTGTTTAGCTTTAATTCTACCAAGAAATGTAGACCTAAATTGTTCTGGTAAATTTTGAACTTAACTAAGCGTGTTCGTACTGATGGAATAAAAAGCTTTTTAAAGGAGCTCCAAATAACCCAAAGTTTCTTTAATCGTCTCTCAACCTACTATTTCCATTAAGAAATCATTTTTAGCGGTATTGGCTTGAATATCCTGCTTATTCGTTTCTACATTCAAAAAGAGTCATTTATCTTCAGATTCAAAAGCCTTCCCTATTAATTGCCTCCAGCGGTCCTTTATGCAAAAACGTAACGTATTAAACACATTAAGCCTAGCTATTAACAATCTCATTAAAAAGTAACAAAATAAAAAGTGTGCATTCATCCTATTTACATATTGCAAATACCATTAACATTCCATTAGGTATTTAAGCGTGTGTTGCTTGAAGTTTTTAGTCATTAGATATTCGATTTTAGTATAATCTGGAATATTGAATAATTCAGACAAAGCAACTAACGCACTCAGTCCGAATAGTTTTCTACTCCATTATGTAAATGCAATGTTGCATATTAAGTTACTCTTATTAAAAGTTGTAATGTTTCCTCCTCCTCCTAGGGTAGGTAGTAGGAGCAATATCTTCTTGCTTGGTTTTTTTTTATTGGGGAACATTTTAAATCACAACTTTATAATCATCTTTATAGCATTTTCTTCGTTTCGTAGTAATTATTATAATATTTGTTCTCAGAACATATACAAGACGTGTCTTCGAAAATTGCACACGAAGCGTTTAACGTGATGCAGGCAATTAATATAATGAGTCTATATTAAATAGCATCTGGGCTGCAACATACACGTATTCTTTTTGCCTTTAAATATTGATAATGGTGAAATTATTGACAATTATTGCTGCTCCTTTATTTTTCCTGGTTGCTTTATTATGCTGGAGCCAGTGTAATTATCAAGTAGCTTAAGTACGGTACATATTTACTGGAATATACCGACCTGTTGGAATATGGGTACGAAACCTGCCAATTTTTCAGGGAAAATATAGTCTATTAGGCATTTTATTTGTTATTTCATATAAATAATGTTGCAATATGCAGGGCCACTCATTACACAAAATGTAATATTTAGAGCACATGAAAATTGTAAATAGAATGAGGAGAATTCATTTATTTCTCCAAATGTACCTAAACACATGTTCAATTATTTCCGTAATAGGAAGCTTAATTTTTCATTTAGTTTTAATCTATCTGTGTCTGTAGTTTGTTTTTTGTCCTCTTTTGCATTTTCGTCTCAACATTCTACTTTCTTGTGGATTATAAATGTTGATTGTCGTTACTTTGGAGTATTCGTTACCAACCAGAATGTTATCCAACAAACCTGTAGATGAACAAAAAATAAACCTTCTTTAAAAGTATACCAAACATTAAGGATTCATTTAAGACAAGCTGGTGCCCAACAGGATAATTTACCCCGATATTTTATGGTACATAAGATAATTTATTTGGAAAATGAAACTATTCAAAATGAGATCAATAAGTTTACTTCTTACTGCGAAGACCGAATTTCAGCTTGAAAAGCGTTTGATCATCGCGGAAAATTTCTTTTAATTAGTGGAAAAAGTTATTATAATATTAATGTGAATATGATGCCAATTTGTATGTTATCTGAAATTGTCCGCAACTTTTTCTTCCACTTCTTCCTCCTTTAAAATGGCTCTTTCTATCTATTATACAGACATTCTGTCTATTTCACTGTTATAGTGATTTTATGGCCACGACGACATTTTAATGATTGATTTTTGGTTTTCAGAATTAATTATAATAAATAATGAAACAATTACAACTAAAAATGTATTTCAGCAACAGTTTTGTACGTACTGCTGGTGTTATTGGTAATTTTAGATCCGGTGTACTTGAACCATTTCCAATTTCTAAATAATTCAGCATCAGTTTGTGGTTTTAGCATTCTCACGATGGCCGAGTCCCAAATAAATCCACAGTTACTTTGTCAATTTTAATTTAAATAGTAAACAACTGAAACTAGGTTTAACCATATTTGTAAATTGTGTAGATGGTTCCATTAATTCGCACGGGGCCACTTCTGATTTACTCCCACTTGATACAGAAAATGCTCTTGAACCACTACGTTATTTGACATAGAACAAAAAAATGCTTAATTTGGTAACTAACAATCTGTGCAAGATTCATGATATCGGGATTTTCCAGAGAACCATTTATTTATGGACATAAGTGCATAAAGCAAAAATATTTAGTTTGATCTATATTCGTATAATTACATAACATACTCTAAAGTATGTTAAAATCACAATATTCTCCTTACACATTAAGGTGTTTTATACTTTGGAGTATTAGTAATTGTTGTTTTCTTCTTCGATTATCTATTGAGTCCGCTGGAAAAAATGTATCCAAAATATTTGCATATTCTGATGAAACACTCTCGATACTTATAACATTTCATCAGCAAATTTCAGAAGGTTCAGCATGGTAGAACACTGACCTCATCATCACCATCATTACGTAAACTGTATAACGATGTTTGCTAGACAAATCCCAATTATTCGATGTCCATCGCTGGAACTATTCCCGTTGTCGGATAAATAGCACTAAACTTGCGTAACTTTCTACCCACCATCTACTCCAAAGCGCATAACAGAAGAGTATTACACTCGTCCCACCAGATCATCAAGATAAACCAATACCAAATCCTACGTGATTTACGTAAAAAAGATTCAGTGACCTGTTCAATTCGAATGCAAATATGGCACCGTTAGTGAGGAAGACTGTTAAGGAAAGACACGTCTTCGAGTAATGAGACGTAAGTGCCCCTTGAGATCTGCTAAAGAAAAGCGTGACATAATTAGGAAAACTGCACTCGTTAGTTTACAATAATTTAAGTTAGAATTGCAGGAAATAAGCTGGATATATGGTGATAGCTAGTGCGTGTACCAGTTAATTAAATGGAA